TGCCTTACAGTAAACCAAGTTTATATTCCACCATCAAGTGTGGTTCTCCCATTAGTTCACTTTCTGATGGGTCTGAAAACAAACAAAAACAAACATATTAAAGATTCTCAAAAAAAAAAAAAGATAAATTCAGTGATTCCAGTCATATGAAAATCTAGAAGAGGCAAAACTAATCTAGAGAAAGAAAACAGACCAGTAGTTGCCTGAGGCCCAGAGTGAGGGGACTGGTTGCAAAGGGACCAAGGGAAATTTCTGGTTTCCCAGATGACTGTGGGAACAATCTCTAATTAAGAGATGAGGCAATCTCTTCATCTAAATTGCAAAAATGTTTTATCTCTATTGTTTTGTGCTGTTTCAAACATACACAAACACAAACATAAATCAGAATTCTAGAGCAAAAAAACCTTAACCATTTTCACTCTTGTTTTTATGGATGAGTCAGACAAAAAAAATTAACTGTGATAATACACCTAAAAGAGCTTTTAAAATTAATACTAACAGTAAGCTCCCTAAAGACAAATAAAGCCTTTTTCCTTTTTTGCCACCCATTCCTCAACATAGGAATTGAAACCCAATAAAAACCCAATAACTAAACTGTAAAATCACATAAAATAATATTACTAAGAGTAACTGATCAATTTGGGTGTTTCCTCGCTGCACCCTCTAAGAGACTGGAGATTACTGTGTCACATCAGTTCAGCAATCTATGCTCTCGACACTTGTCACACAGCAAAGTAGCCTTAGCAACGATTGATACTGCTACAGTTATTAATATACTGCTATGTATGGAACAGACATTCAAAATCTAAACTTAAAAAAAAAATGTCTGCATATGAGTAGAAAGAACAGGCAACGATGTCTGCTGCAGTAGTTTCTAGTTAATGAGAAAAATATAAACATTTGCCAATAAATGTATTGACACAATGTATGGGTTGTCGGAAAAGTCACAGCACATTTTTGCAACGAAAAACAGAAAAAAATATGTCATGACTTTTCCGATAACTATACCATAAGATACACAGAGTGTACCAATTGTGTTAAAAAAATTAACGTATAGAGTGGGAAAATGTTGGGCATTGCTTAGATGCCCAACATTTTCCCACTGTATACGTTTGTATGTTTGTATGAAGACACACAGTACAAAGCCTGGGACGACAGCCGGTAACCAGGCAATGAGGGAGAGAGATGGGTCTGGGGGTAATCATGGAGGACCTGAGTTTCACTTTAATGTTTTAAATTTTTGAACAAAGACAATATTCGTCTAGATAACAATAATTACTTTTAAACTCTAGTACAGTGTGCACTTATTAAATAAATCACTTGCCCCAGAGGCATAAGCAAGGCTCAGCTGTAGACTCGGGGCAGGACCCAGCCTCTGCTCAGTCTCTCACTCACCAAAGTGAAGGCCGGGGGGGGGGGGGGGGGAATGGAAGGTCCTCTCAGCACAGGAGTCTATTTTTGTCTTTACTATCGCCCTCCTCACATGCCCTTCCCTTCCTTGTAAAATGTACATATTTTTCTTGGCCAAACACTATAGGTGAGCGAGCAAAACCCTCATCACCTCCAAAACTTCACAAAATGTAAACTGGAGAAATACAGATTTTCACCACAGTTTAATAGTCCTCATGCAGAGTTCAGACTAACGAACTACTCCCTCATTGCAGACTTAAAATCCCTACTGGTCAAAGGCGGTGAGGGGAGTGTGCTGAGCAGGCACTTCCCATACTTCCTATGGGTCCAGAGCTTTATGGGGTGCTGGGGACACAAGACCAGGGCCCAGCTCTCAGGGAGCATGTATTTAATTTGGGGAGACAAAGAAGAAGAAAAATACCAGATAAGTGGTATGCAAAGAATTAAAGTGAGGTGACAAGGTGACTGGGTACTACTTTAGATTGGGTAGTCAAGGAAGGCGTCTCCGAAGGAGTGACATTTAAACTGGGGATCTGACAAATGAGGTAGAAAATATTCTAAGCAGAAGCAACAGCTAAGGCAAGGCCTTAAGGCGAAGCCATGAACTGCCCATACATTATGCAGTCACAGCTCCCACAGGGTACAGATTACCTGAAATGCCATGCAGTGGTTTCATCCTGACAAAAATCACCTATTCAGGGGATCTTTCTAACTCATTTCTACCTTAGAGGGATGCAAGGAATGAATATAAAAAGATGTTCACAAAACAGTGACCTTTTTATATACGAAATTGTATGACATCATTGCTTAAAATCATTCTGTGGCTTTCCATTGCATTTGAATAAACTTCTGCAAAGCTCTGGCTCCTAGCTTTTCAACCTCACCTTATTTCACTCTCCATTTCCTCAAAACACTCCAGCCACATGCAACTCCTGGACACGCTCGTGTGTACATGCACACACGTGTGCTTGCATGTGTCAGGGGACAATTCCCCATGGGTCTCTCACGAGTCTGCAAGTCTTCGAAGCAGATGCACTGCCTGCCTTGGTTCTAACGTGAACAGCCTCAGAAGACTGATCTGTCTCCCCTGGCTGACTGCTTCTTATACAGACTCAGGTGCCCTGACCCAGGGTGGGGTTCCCCTTCTCGTAATGGAAGACGAACTACGTAGGTGTCACCGGATGTTCTTCTTGCTGCCTGTGGGAACTGGGACTCAGGGAACCGAGAAAAAAGCTGCAACTCTGGGGAGTGCTATTGATGTGAGAAATAAACTGTCCCGTTTCTAGGAGTCCTGCCTTCTGCCAGCACCCACGAAACCAGGGCAGGCTAACTTGTTAGTTTGTAAGTAGGTTAAGATCTTAAACCCATCAATTCTTCAGCTGTTCTCAGGTGGGAGACCCCAAGCATACTGTTCCTTCTGCCTGAAATATTCTTCCCTGTGCTTTTAGATCAACTAACTCATATATCTTTTCAGAATCAACTTATTCCGAGAGGTGCCTGCCTCTCCTACCCAACAACAAACTATATCCCTATCCTTTCTATTCCTAGAATTTATCACAATTTATCATTATGTTTGTATTTTACCTGTTTAGTCTTTACCTCCCCCATTAGAAAGCACACGTTTGTTTTTTCACTGCCTAACCCAGGGCCTGACACCTAATAAATATTTGACTGACTGACTGACTGACTGACAAGACTAAATGCTCAATAAGTTCCCCTACCTTTCTTTACACAGAATCACAGAAGCTGATTTTTAAATGAATGTATTTTTATAACTAATTAAAAGATAAGAATACACAGACTTGAGCTATCACCTTACTAATTTTAAATGAGGTCTAAGTTCAATGCCAAAGCTTAGAAATTCCAGCTTTTCCTGCATTCAGAAAGCTCCCTCAGCGAAGATTCTCAAAGGAGGCTCACTAGACTTCTGTTGTGTCCACAGCATTTCCTTACCAGACATCGGCAGCCAAGCAAAACTAATATAATTTAATCCGGTTGGGTTTTGTGTTTCTCCTGAGCTGCTGAGGCATAATGAGCAGAGGCAATACTGGACAGAATTATATTTGTTTATCTTCCTCAGAACCAGAAAAAACAGAGGATGCTATTATTATTAATAGAGGATGCGTGTATTGTTCTTACTTAAAAGTCATGTATCTTGTACATAATACAATTATTCAGGGAATTTCATTACAGATGATAGTCTTCTTTCCTACTCACCATCTACAGAAGCACAAAAATTATTGGGGGAGGGGCTATGTTTTAAAGAAAACTTTTAACTTATTAGAAAACTTTTATCTAACTTTTATCTTAAAAATTAGTCATATCCCACAAACGTTCTCAATACTGAAATAACAATTATTGTTTAAGCTACCCCAAGAATAAAGACGCTCATTATCAGATTCTACCCTCAGGGCAAGAATCAAATGACTACCATTAACTGACTGACATGACTATAACCTCACAACGCCATAAATAATTGCCACTTTTAACCAGTTAAAGAACAGTTACTACCATTAATTGTATCTCAGTGCAGTGAATGACACACGTGAATCCAAGCAGCAGTCAGCTCCATGAGAACAAGAGTTTTACTTGCTGCTGCCGCCTTGCATGTTACTGAGGTTCCAGAAAAAGGTGCTGAATGACACTTACTATTAAGAATATCTTCAAATCCAATAGTCTCATCATTACCCCTCAAAATATCCAGTGAAAGGTTTGAGCTTGGAAGAAATGGAAGACGCTGAACCNATTATTCCAACACTACAAACTAGTATCCCTCATGAACATAAACAAAACATTCACAACAGAATATTAACCCGGCAAGCTAATTATAAACAAGAGAGTGTATCTGACCAAGTGGGGTTTCTCCAGAGAACACAAGGCTGGCTTAACATTTGGAAATCCCTGCAGGTAATGAACCATGTTAACAGACTAATAGAAGCAAGGAAAAAAACCAACATGACTATGTATCAATAGATGCAGAAAAAACATGTAACAAAATTCAAATTCTGTTCATGATAAAAAATTCTCAAGAAACTAGGGTCAAGCTCAGAAAGGGCATCTACAAAAGCAAAAACAACAAAAACCCCAGTCAACTAACACGATGCTTAATGGTAGAAAGACTAAATGTTTTTTCTCTAAAAGTGCAAATAAAGCAATCAGGATATCCACCAATTTGAGTGAATTATACCTCAATAACCTTAAACATATTAGAGCTTTGAAGCCAGCACTAACATATGTTTGAGGCCCCTGAAAAGGTGTAGTTTTCTAGCTTCTCCTGGGAAAGACAGTTAGGGGGCCAGTTAGTAGGGATTTGCATAGACAAACCCCAAAGTCCACAGTTCCTGTGTCTCAGAGTGTGGTCCCTGGGTTGGCAGCATCACCATCATATGAGTACTTGTTAGAAACTCAGATTCTCAGGCTTCCACTCAAACCTCCCAAATCACAAACTCTGGGGTGGGGCCCCGCCACCTGTGTTTTTAAAAGCCCTCCCATGATTCTGACACACAAAAATGTCTGACAACCACTGCTCTACACTTGTGGCATCTCGGCTTTATTTACTGTGGGCCTGTGTTGTCCAACTTTACAAATTATTGGGTTGTCGGGAAAATCGTGATGTATTTTTTCTATGTTTTTCGTTGCAAAAATGCATCATGACTTTTCCGACAACCCAATATTAAAACCACATCCAGCTTCTTGAGTTCAATGAATCTAGAATTATTTTGTGTAAGGGCATCAAATCGATATTCTAAAAGCACATTCAAACTCTGTTCCCTCACACGATCCTGAAATTCTTGGAGGTATAAACTGGCAAAACCCCCAAATTCTTCCATGTTAGATGTCTTTGGATTTGGCCTGCAGAGGGGAACTGGCTTTCTCTGGTAAACTTGACCCCCTCAGAGGAAAGAACTCTTCAGGAAGAAAGAAAAAGCCTCCTTCTGAGAGAAGAAACCACTCCCTTCCTCGATCATATTCCCACTCATTCATTTCTCAGGGTCTTACTGCATCCATTTTCATACACTGTGCCTGGTAGCGCAGCGACAACTGTGCTAACACTGGAGACTCAGACTTGCTTTGGCTGAGCACTCTACCTGTAAGAAATGACATTCTCTAGGCTTCTGGAGGTTGGCTTGGGGATTTGAACTTGTTATTTACTTGCTTTAAGTTTCCCTTGCTGTCAGAAGCGGCCACCTCACACCCCTACTTCTTCACATTCTGCTTGCCTGGAACCTTGCTATGAATTGGACATGGGATCTCATGTGATCAGAGAGGAGGGCTGTTTTACAACTGCCTGCCAAACACGGCTAGATTGCCTACCTAGACGCACTGCCTGGCCTATCTGTCAGATAAGGGACCCCTCACTGTCACAATCCTCGGGGGACGTGTTCCTTATAACACCAACTGTCTGATGCCAATTACCGTTCAGAGATCCTGATTGCAAGCACTTAAATATGCTGTTTATCGTCAGCCCACTGGCTTTTCTGGAATGATAGTAGAGGCTCCACGGCCTCAATAAAGAGCTTAGGACAGTCCACAGAAACAGGAGCCAGGTGCTCCAGAGGCAAAGCAGCAGCACACAGCAAGGATCCTGCAGCGACCCCCTGCTTCTGACAGCGATGAGTCACACACAGTCCTCACGTCCCAGCTCTGGAGTCCAAGTCCAGTAGAGAAGTCTGATTGGCTGCCCTGGGTCACGTGCCTGAGGCCAGGGGGGGGCGGTCAGAGAGGCAGCCCTGGTGGGTTCTAGAGAGGGAGGCAGGCACATGTCCCCTCAGGACAACACACAATGGAGGGAAGGAGATTCCCCTAAAGAATTCAGAGTGTAGGAAGTGAGAGTGGGTGCCACACAGCCAAAATAAGACAAATGAGTCCTACAAAGGGGAAGGTAAATGGAGAGGAATGGAATCTGGTTGCTTACCTTGCCTATCATCTCCCCAAAGCCAAGCCCTGTAGGTATTCCGTTTTTGTTTTATTAAGGGAAAAGAGAACCTCTTAAGCTAAGCCTAGTCCCTAAAATGGCAATTTGCCCTGTGCTTGGTTTACCTTGTAAAAAAAACAAATAAACAAACAAAACAAAAAAGAAACCCTGATTAAACAATAGGCACCTTCATTATGATACTGACAACAAAAACAAATTGGTCACTGTTATAAACTATGAAAAGAAACAGCTTGTTATTTTGCAAATGGTTAAAAATACAAGGACAGAGGAAAGCATATTTTCCCTGTCTTTCCTATATCGACTCTATCCCTGAGTAACCAAATGGTAGGTCACAGTGTTCCCTTCTAAGGAAGTATACTAGCTAAAACATGAAGAAGGAATGAAGATTTACAATCACCATTTTGCAACCCCTAATAAATAAATGGATCCATGCACTGTGCATCAGTGGCCACCAATATCTCCAAGTGAGAGCCCGTTAGGCATCTAGTGTCTTTTTATGGAAGAGCATACCACCTATGAAGTGATCTTTCCAAAAATAATTAACTTGAATCTGATCAAGTCTGTGGATTCAACGAGCAACTTATAGGAAATGCAGAGGCGACAAGAACATGTTGAACTATATCACAGAGACGCAAATAGCAAAATCTAGACTATGGGAAACTCCTCAACAAATAGCAAGAAAAAGAAAAGAGAGAGATGGAAGGAGAACCTACAAATTAAGAGACAACAGGAACAAAACCCTATCACAATGTGTTTAAGTTACTTGGATCTTGATTTGAACAAAACAGCTGGAGAAAAAAGACATTTATTGGACCATCAGAAATCTGAATACTGACTGAACATTTACTTATAAGGAATTATTAACTTAAGTATGATAATAATAGTATTGTGTTTATGTTAGCTTTATAAACTGAAATATTTACATATAGAAATGTCTGTAATTCTTTCAAAATAATATTGAGGGGGAAAGCAGATGAAAAATGTAGATGAAATAAGATTGATGGTTAAGATGGAAGTTAGATGATGGGAACGTCAAATTATATTGGATTTTTCTGCTGATTATATTGATTTTTTTGGATGTTTGAAATTTCCCATAATAAAAATTTTGAAAAGAACAGTGCATCTCTTCTTGGGCCTTATCAGTTCCCTTTGTCTTCTCTTAAGTTTTCATAATAGAGTGCCTACTTGTAAGCCACGGAGCAGAATGGAGCAAGACTATGGCTGCCCTTGCTTGTCTTAACCTCATGACTTTCTCACATGATCAGGCAAAACATCAGATGTATTAAAGTCAGCAGTCTTTCCTCTATGGCTAACATAGTATTTCTTTGGTGATAACTTCTATGATAGTTGTGATTTCGATAACCATGATAANATTAAGAATATCTTCAAATCCAATAGTCTCATCATTACCCCTCAAAATATCCAGTGAAAGGTTTGAGCTTGGAAGAAATGGAAGACGCTGAACCTTCGGGAAAAGTATGAAAAACAAGATTAGAAAAAAACCAAGGAGGGAAAAACGTATAATCTAATTTCATGTTCTTCATTCTTTATTTAGAAAATGCACAAAACTAAATAAAATTTATTTAACCAGTGGAGGTGGGGGGAACAGTTTATATTTTATATCCAAACCAAGTTTTTAAAAATTCCTTAAAACTTTACTCAAAATATGTAAAGACACTGAAATAGTACTTAACACTTGATAATCTTATCAGATTTGCACATATCTGGGGGCTTTGCTTCTGTCCAGGAAAACCACAGCATATACCATCTGATGAAATGCAAAATCCCAGAGCCTGCCACCCTGTCTAGTTCCTAATAAATGTGGGATGATCAAATTCCACCCCAGTGAGAGCATTATTCTACTTAGTAAACGGATTACTTTTATGTTGAAAGTATTTATTACTTTATGTTGTTTTGTATCCCTCATAGTAAGAAGCTAAGTTATGACCCTTTCAAACAATAATGATAACCAGAAATGAAGATCAAACCCATTTATAGGACCTTTAAAAAATACCAAAACAAAACAAAAACCTAAAACAAAAACACAATTACCACTTTGAGCTAGTGTCATCGGCTTTTTTCAAGTATTAAATAGAGTCAGAGAAATATGGACTCAAGTTCTGATCTTACTACTTACCAATCCTATGGTTTTGAGTAAGTTACCCGATCTGTCTCACCCTCAGCTTCCTCATCTGTGAAATGGGCTAACACCACCTCCCTCTCAAACTTGTAGTACAGTGCGGTGTCAAGTATGTATATAGTATAGTTATTGGCACATAGTCAGTATTCGATAAACTTTAATGTAGCCAACCCAAATTTTCAATTTTTCTGTTCTTTGTTAGCTGCCTGGCAGTTACAATTTGACTCAATGCAGACAATTTTGGATATTGCCAAAAGAATACCAGAAGAGTAACAGGTGGTCAGTGACTAAATGATACCAGTATTTTTAAAGTAATCATAACTTCAGCATCTAAGGGGGCAGTTAAGATTTTTTCCCCCAAGAAAATGTATGCAGACTAAAAATAGTTTCAATTACTAATGGCCTACAGAGATATTTAAACCTTTGTAGCATGCAAAATTTCTCTAGGTTGTCAAAACTGGGGTGGAGAATAGAGGGGGGGGAGAAAAAGTAGGAAGGATACAGGAGGAAGAGGAAGAAACAGAAATTGAACCTGTAAGTTAAAATAGCCGGTAAGGGAAAATGGTAGGTCCAGTTTGACAGAGGGAGTCCTGAGAAGGCATCAAAAGCAGGGATGCGCAGGCAGTGGTCACAAATTCTGCCGAGGAAGAATTGCAGTAGTACAGGGATCAGGGAAAAAAGGCCAAGATTCTGGGCAAAGCTCTTTGGATTAAAAGCTTAGGCCCAAAATATCAGCAAAATGTAGCTGGAATCTGAGTAGGAGCATAAAAAGGGAAGCCAACAATTTTGTGCAAACACATGCATTTCATTTCATCTTCAGAATAACCCTAATAACCCTCCACTGTTCTTACTGCTAACTCCATTTCACATTAAAATCAAACAAACAACCTGAGGCTCAGAAAGGGCTCTAACTTATTGAAGTTCTTAAGACCAGGAGATGGTGGAGCCAAGATTCACACCCAGGTTATTCTAACATAAAGCCACACATGTCCTTTTTAGAATTTTTCTCCTTGGAAAAAAGTTCTACAACAGCTTCCAGAATGACTTAGTGGTGGCATTAATACAATTTGTTGAAGGACAGTTTGGGTCAGATAAGAAAAAGGAATTCACTGTAGTAGGAAGAAAATGTGCATAAGCCAGAAGATGAGAGAACAGGTTAAGTTAGGACCCTGTGCGCAGCTGAGGAGGCAGCGATGGAGCACAGAAGACAGCACGGAGGCGGTTCACAAGCAGAACACGATGAGGACGCGGCTTTATTGTGAGGGCGAAGTGAGGGGAGTGACTTGATCAAACCTGTTTTCCAGACGATTCTGGCTAGTGTGTCCGGTGCACTGGGGGCAGGAGAGGGAGTGTTACCATAATCCAGATGAAGCACGGTAGGTCGGAACCAATGCAGATGCAATGACAAGAAGAGGTAACTGGATGTTGGGGAGGCAGGGAGAGATGAGGTGCTGGGTGAGATACCCAAGGCCAATGTTCCACTTTCTGTCTTAGGAAGAACTCTAGTCATACACGAGGAGGACTGTGTGAGAAACTAAGTTATTCTAGACTTGGACATGTAAAGTTTGAAGTGCCTGTGGGACTTCCAACTGGAGAAGCCTAGAGGTTTACTCGGGAATTAAAACTTGAGTGTCATCAATATATCAATGGTAACTAAAGCCAGGGAAATAGGTAGGAAAGAACAGGAGGAGGAGAGGACCAGAGATGGGTCCTAACGAAACTGGTATTTCAGGGAACAGAAAAAAACAAAAGGAAGCTAGCTACAGATAAACACCTGAGCACGAGGTTTCAGAGAGGAGGGGGACATCAGGGAAGTGTGATGCCCTAAAAGCCAAAGGGAAGAAGGCAGGTGCCTTCAGTGTGACACACCACAGGGAGACCAAGCAAAATGAGAAAGTGAGAATGTCCCCATCTTTCAGGAGCGGTTTCACCTGTGTGTTGGGAGCCAGAAGACTGGGTTGAGTGAATAGGAGATAAAGGAGTGTTATGTAGCAAATGTAAGCAACCTTTTAAAAAGTTCAACTTCCAAAAGCACACTTAGTGAAAGACAAGTTGCTATAAAGGGATTTGGGGTTTATACAATTTTTGCTGTTTTAAAAACAGGTTCGAGTATGTGTAAATGCTGCTGCTGAGTCCCAGCAAGCGAAGACGGAGGTTGAAGACTTCAGCTATAGAAAGGATCCACGAACAACAGGAAGTCCCGGAAGTAGTAGTGTGATGTGACAGAATTCAGAGCACAGGTGGAGGGACAGCTCTCACATACTTGGAAGGACATTTCTGAAGTCCTTACTCCTGAGCAACAGGTATACTCAGCTATATACACACTGCCTACTAGATATCACCACTTGGATGGTCCCAGAGGCTTCTCAAATTCAATGTAACCCTCCAAAAGGACAAACAAGTAAGTGGATGTAGGTAAGTTAAGAATCAAGGTCAAACCCTAAAAAGGGGGAAGTGGCATAGGTGGTAGGGGAGAAGGTCAGGTTTGTATAGCTGTTACTAAAATGGAAGTCATTCCCATCCATAGCAACACACACGTGGGATGCACATCCACTCCTATTGATAGCAACACACACGTGGGATGTGTACGTAACTGACATCCACACACTCACCTGCTGCACCGCCTTGAATTCCATTTGCAATTTCAGTGGAGCAAACAGACCCTGGATGTTTCTCAGTGTGGAAAAATTCATTTTATCTTGGTTGAGCTGGAACTACAAAAGACAACAATGTAATTTTAAATGCTACATTCAACATTCTGGACTCAAAACAGTCAGCATCGATACATATGGAATAATACTTAGACAAAGAATTTTAATATCCACAACTGAAATAAAAACAAAGTACTTTCACTAATTTCTTCAATGAATTTTTGGATATGTATGTCTATATTTAATCCAGCATGCTGATATGCTTCACCAGTGTAAAATTATCACCTAAAATTTGGATTTACAAAGCTTAGTAAGATAAGGAATGTTTTACACACTGCAAAGCACAGTCACACCTTAGGGCTTCTGATGAGAATTACTGCAAAACTGGTAGAGGAAAGAAAAGGTATAAATAATCTGAAATCCAGAAACAAGATACATACAGTGACAACAATTAACAGTGGATTTCTAAGTACGAAAGAATATATTTCAAAGGATTTCACAAAGCAATAATCAAATCCATTATACCTCCCTGTTAATTAAAATGTTTCAGCTCTGGGGGTAATTGATTCCAGGGGGAAAAGAACCCAAATCTCTGAACAAAGTCTGTCCAATTTGTATTGGGTACTAAGAAGTAACTTTTTTTCTGAAATCATACTGTGAGCACTGATATTACTTCTAAAAACTTTTATCACAATGTAATGTATTTCAGGCAAAATGAATCAACTTGACTCACGGATTCTGAAACAGTTTCCCAAGATGGCTATTAAGGATAGTGTTTATGATATGCAAATAGTCCTCAAAAATCTGTAAGAGCTAAATTAATTATAACAAGGTAACCTGTTACATTTTTTTTTTCTTTTTTTTTTTTTACATTGGGGAATTGGGGAGGGGGATCAGCCAAATTGTTGTTCTTCAATCTTCGGTGTGGAGGGCGCCAGTCACCATCTAGCTGCTTGTTGGCAGCTCGTGGCCTCTAAGCTCAAGGTGCTGTGTTACAATCTTAGTTGCAGGTGGGCGTACCCACCATCCCATGCGGGAGTCGAACCAGCAGCCTTGCTATTAAGAGCACTTGCTCTATTCACTGAGCCATCTGAGAGGCAGCTCAGCTTAAGGTGCCAAGTTCAGTCTCAGCTGCGGGTGGGCGTAGCCACCATCCCATGTGGAGTTGAACCAGCAGCCTTGTTGTTAACAGCGCATGCTCTCACCAGCTGAGCCATCTTGCCACCTGTTGGCAGCTCAGCAGCAGCTCAGGTAGGGCGCAGCATCACTGACCCATGTGGGAATTGAACAAGCGGCTCTGTTGCTCAGAGCTTGTGTTCTTAAGCTAACTTTTAACCAACTGAGCCACTCGGCGGGTCCACCTGTTATCATTTTTTATTACACTATACTCTCTTAATAAGATTTTCTTAAGTCATCAAAAAAAAGTAACCGATCCAAATGTACTCAAGAGATTAGTGCCCACCTGGAACATGACCTGGAGGCCACATATATGAGGTTTGAAGAAAGACATCTAGCAATATGGTTAATTATGAAACCACAATGCACTTAAAGCAACTAAGAGCCCTTTTATTTTCTCATCTAATTTGAACTTCAATTTCATCATTACATCATTTGTTCTACTCTTTCTTAAAGAAAGATCTTTCCCCTTATTATAGAGGAAGAAAGCAAAAAAAAAAAGAAGTAACAGGTCAGCTTTCTGTTAACTGGGTAACACTGCACCATCTTCCCCACGTAATAAGATACCACTTTGTTCCTGCTCCGAAACATGTATTTAAAAACCTTTACATTGTCTACAGAACATCTATACAGGCTACATGCTCTTTAGAGCGACCGTTCCCTATCTATTATCTATTTAAGCTGGTGGCTACTAGTCTAAAACTGTTCAAATGTTCTCTCCTCTAAAAAGCTTCCAGAATCCCTAAGCACAGGTGCTTGCTCCATTCTTGTTCCTCTGTAACAGCTTATGAAGCCTCTATCCACTGCTTGTCCTCCCATTAAATTTTCAGCCCCTTAAAAATGGGGATTACATCATATTCATTGGTGTACCTACTGTGCCTAGCAAGTGGATACATCCATCGGTAACTTGGAGATGCTTGAAAAAGCATCTCAAAAGGCTTAAGAAAGAGGTCAAGGCTAGAGATATAGACTCAGAGGTCAAATGCAAAAACGGCAAGGGAAAAATATAAAAGAAAACAGGATCATAAAATGAGAAAATATGAGAGAAACGGAGAAGTGGACCAACACAAATGTCCATAAAAAAGACAGAGAAGAATGTGTGGAAAGGGAACTTTAATGAAGCCACTTAATGATAATTCAAAGCCTGCTCTACAAGAATATCAAAATTAAGGCCTCATATTCTACATGGTAAAATGCTCAACACCAGAATTGTCTTAATAAATGAAACTGCAAAAGTATAACTGAAAGTATTTTTCTACTAGAAGACAAAAATAAAGATACTGGTAACATACTTACATTTTTTTCTGATAATTCAAGAGGGTGACTGGGCAAAAGTTCATTTTTCACACAAGAAAAACTGAAAATAAACATTTAAAAAGGAGATTATACATCACTTTAAAGCTCAAAAAATCACATCTATCAAGGGTGTAACTATTAAGGGATGGCATGAGGAGTTTTTTGGGAACAATGAAACTTCTATATGCTGATTGTGGTGGTGGTGACAGGAAATGATACCTGTATTAAAGTTCATATAACTACCCAACCAAAGGGGGGGAAAAGTCAAATTTACTGTACGCTAATTGTTTTAAAATGCATCTATTATAGATATCTGGTAGTTAAGACTTCAATTCACTAGGGGAAGAAGGAATTTAATAAAGTATATTTAGTACTATTATTCTGATGACATGCTTTTGTATTATACCAAATATTTAAACCTCTTCTGCTCAGGTCTAACACATATTGAGTATTTAATGTATCTTTAATATACCCATGTTGAACAACATGTTTGACATTTACTGAACACCTACTATGTAAAAAGTGATATACAGCTAGAACCAGGCCATTGGTCTTTATTACGCCAGATATATAAAGATGGCTATTTTATTGTCCAAAGCGGGATTTGAGAGCTGAAACAAACCTTAGAAATCATGCAATGATAGTTTATTGAATGACTATTGTCTTTGTACATAAGTGGAATTTGAAAATGGTCCTACTCATGGCAATCTTACAGTTTAACCAGGAAGAAAAAGGAGCATTTCATATGAAAAAAAAAAAAATCATTAGGGCTTGGTTACTGGCTAGCTTATGAATCTGATTATACTATAAATCAAATTGTGTCTCTAATTCCAAAGGCTATATACTTCAGCTTTCACTATAAAATGGAAAGACAATAATGAGGCACTATGTCCCCAGATGCCAATAAATGGCATTCTATTACAGCAGGACCTAAATACCTTACAATTAGACATAAAATTCAAAAATTCAAAACACAGAATGTTCGGGGGAGGCATTATCCTCATTTGATTAAGCAGAAAAGCAGCCTGCCAAGAAAAAGAACTAGTACCAGAAACTGAGACCTAAAGGTAAAGGAAACCGAGGGAAGGGGTATAACTGTGTGCTAAGGGTAGAAAAGAAAGATCATAGCAGCTAACATGCACTGAGGGCTTACTAATGTCAGGTACTGTTCTAAGTATTTTTCATGTATTAAGTCATTTATTCCTCAAAATAAGACATGTATTATTAATAGCCCTATTTCACAGATGAAGACACTGAGACATAGAGCAATTGAGTACCTTGCCTAAAGGCATATATCTAGTAAACAGCAAAGCCAGGATCAAAACCCAGGCAGCCCAATTCCAGAGTCCATGCTCTTAACTGCTGTTAAAGCACTCCCAAAAGACGCAAATGACTTCAACAGTGAATAAGATAAGGAGACAAATGGCTCTCCACGTTATCAGCAGCAAAGTAAAGAAGGCTACCAAATCATGCTACTGGGTACCATTTTCTGGGAGAACGCCCTATCCTGAGAACCTACTACTCTGATAAGATGCTTTCTCTACAATCGAAAACATGTAAAATACAGCTCCCCTCTTCCCCCAGTCTAAGGTATGTTACTTGCTAACTCCCAGACTAAATATATATTTATGGCCTAGGAAAATATTTAAAGAATACTATGAAAAATCATTCCCAGAAACATTTTATTACAACAAAGTCCAAGGCACAACTCCCCCACATACCCTTTTCGAAGAAGATCATGACTTTCAAAAGGTCCGCTTGCTGAAAGTTCAGTAACAGGAATACTGTCCTTTAGCTGAGATCCAAGTCCTCTGGCATTCTACAACACAAATAAAGAATGCTAGTAAGTACAAAGAAAATAAAAAAACCCCACACTGAACATCTATGTACAAAATGTGGTTTAAGACTAGAGAGAAAAGGTCTCTGTCCTCGAAGAGCCCAATCTAGACAATCACAATGAGCATTATGCTAAGGGGACGCATTTGATAGAGTGAATAATATCAAATCTGGGTATAGGAATGATTCCCCAGTTATCTCTGAATGCTGTCAGATTAAAACACATTCCAGCAAAAAAAGGACATGGGTAGGCCAGCTGAGTGGCTCAATTGGTTAAGAGCTCGCTCAAGAGTGTGAGCCCTGAGCAACAGCGGTTCAATGCCTGGCCCGAGGTGAGTTGCCGCTGAGCTGCCAACAGGTGGCAGGATGGCTCAGCTAAAAAAAAACGACATGGGTAAAGGTATAAAAATATAAATGATCAAGCGAGTGAGGCACAGTAAAGGTTGGCAAATGAAAAGGCATAAACATGCAAAGAAATGTAGGTTTTATTCTAAAATAAAGAGCCTCTGAAGGGCTACGGCATGTTCAGATTTATTTTCATTGGCAAGATATTTCCCTTAGGTTGGAATTAGCACAAAATGAGAAAGTTGAGGACAGAATCTTGGGGAATACCATTCCTTCAGGACAAGGAAGAAGTACAAGGAAATGGGATTAAGGACAGACAGAAGAGCTAGAATAGCGTGATCACAGTAGCTAAGAAAAAAGGGAATTTCAGAAAGTGATTTCTATAAGAGGGCACTACCTATGAAAAATGAATATATCTAATCTGGATAGTGTCAAATGAAAACAAAGACTCAGTGCATTTGGTACTGATGAATGGTCACCTTATGCATTTATACTATAAAGAACTTAATCACCAAGTATTTTAAGCCTCTAGTATGTGGCAGGTACTCTGATGCCAAAGACACATATCTACCTTCCAGGGCTTAGTCTGATGAAGACAGATTAAACAAGCAAATAAAATGTAATAAAGTTACAACAGGTAAAACACAAATGCTGACTTTCAACCATCTGTTGCTCAAGTTCAATATCCCTACAATTTTGCAGAAAATGGAAAACACTACAGGTAGTTGGGTATTGGTCTTAGTGTTCTAAGAGAACTATTCTGAGAAAGCAGCTTTTCTTGTTGATTTCTTAATTCACCTGTATATTTTATTTGGTCAGGTACTTTTTTCAGGGTTTCTTCAATCTCCCACCCTAGTCCAGGCTCTCAGACCTGGATAACTTACTCAGCACTCTACTGGGTCTTACTGCCTCTACACTCTTCCATTTTCCAACTCCACATATCAAGGTTTTCCTAAAACACAAAATCTCACCCACCAAAGATGTAAAAAAACTCTTCACGGATTCATCAGTGTCCTGTGTGAAGAAAAACGTCCAAGGTTCTTAGCCTGGAACTCAAGAACCTGCACAACAGGTTTCAATTCCTCCACACAGAAACCATGGCCAATGAGAGAAGGATCTGGGGGCTAGTGTGGACTGTCACTAACCTACTATGCGACTGTGACCAGGGCATACAAGCTCTCTGGCCCTGTTTACTCATCTTTCCAGGTACCTTCCCAAATGGATATCCTGTTCCTCTCCTGCCAAACATTCTCCTCCGCCCAGGTTGCTTTATTGTAAAGAGACAGAAGAAAAATTCTTCTATGCACCGAAATGGGCAATTCTGAGCTCTGAGTTCTACTGTAATCATCTTCCCAATTTCCTTCTGTAAAACATCAGGATCAGTACTTGATGTTTCTAATAAAGCAGCAGAGGAAAACAAATCTATGAAAATTTAATTATCACTAGTTACACTTGAGAGTGTTTATAAAACCTCTTTACAATGATCAGCAGTATTTACCAACAGAAGCCTTCTAGATTTGCACTGTCTCGTAGCTGTGCTGGCATCAGAGGCAGGGGCAATGGTGAATCAGGAATCTTTCCCAAATAGCACAACTTTGAAGTTAAAAAGAAAACGAGGCGGAGGAAAGGAGGAGATGCACTAATAATAGTGACGAACAGGGAGTAGCAGCTGCCTGATATTGTTTCCCTCCAATATCTAGCATACCACAGATTCCCAAAATCGTTTGTCAAGTAATGCTGAGTGATAAAAATACGACCTATAGTTGTGGGTTTGTTATCAAGTCAGTTCCGAGGATCAGGGGTTTGGGGGCTCTGGGACCCCAAAAGTTCTCCCGTCAGGGGACGGGGCAGTCAGCAGCGCCACATCGCAGAAGGTTGCACTTTCGATTTGTACTTTCCAGCTCCGCGTCTACTACGGGGAAGGGGCCGGGGTCTGTGGGGGACCTGGAGACCGGAGGACGCAAGCCGAGAGACTAGAAGGAGATGGAAGGGGAGGAAGCCGCAGCGCTGACCGCGGGACCTGCGCCGGAGCCCGGCCCAGGCCACAGCCGCTGTCCCCAACCCCATGACTCGGCAGATCCCGGCGCCCGAGGCCGGCCTCATCCTCCCGCCGCAGCCGCCACCGGGGACGGGCTGGGAGGCGGCGGCCTGGTCCTGCCGGGCCACGGTTCCGAGCACGCCGGGAACTCGGGTCGCCCAGGGATTCACTCACCATTTTCTACTCGCTCTGCGAACAACCTCTCAGCCCCGTTACCGTCAGTCGGCCCAGCAGTTCACTTCCGTTTCCGGTGCTCCCCCCCACATCCGCCGGAAGTGCGTCCGTCCGGGCGAGGAAGGAAGAAGGGCGCGGGGCGTCGGGAGGGATCCGCGCTGGGCCGGGGCTCCCACGCCTGCAGTCCCGAGGGACCGGGGGCCAAGGGCGCAGTAAGGGTGTGGGCTGGGAGGAGGGCGGGAAGGGACGAGGTGTGCCCGCGGGAGGGAAGACGGACCTCAGCTCCAGTAATAAACAAATACGGGTCGTCCAACTGAAGATGCGCCTCACTTATAATACAAGGCCTTTGGCTGTAGATAGTCCATTTTTCACATGGATATACGAGGCATAGGTGGGATGAGTGATTGGCCTGCAACCGTTCAGCTACCAAGGCAAAAGTGGAGCCCAAGGCTTTTGCCAATGTGTTTTTATTTTTTTGAATCATGTGTCAAAGGTCTGCTCTGTCTAGGACCCTGTGCTGAGGCTAAGAAAACAGACACGAACCAGGCTGATGTGGTTCCTGGGCTAGAGGAGCAGAGGACTATTGGGGGTGGGGTGGGTGACAACTGATTAAGTAAGTATGGTCATTACTGACATATTCGGCTCTTACTATGTAGCAACATGGTTCTAAGTGCTTTACATGAACTATCCTTTAATCCTTTCAATCTTATGAAGTAGGGACTACTATTACCTCAATTTTACAAATGAGGAAAGCGAGGCATGAAAGAGGTTAAATAAACATGCCCCAGTCCATAAATCCATTGTCATAATACTGGACTGTATTGCCTTTCAAATAATGTGATAAGATGAGCTCATGCTCTGTCACCATATAATGGAGCTAACTTAAGGAATACTGGGGCTGATAGCCAAAGAATAAGAGTGGACTAGTTTGAGGTAGGGGAGTACGTGAAAATGTTATGGCAGACATGCTTGTGCAAAAACGGAAGTGGGAAAGAAGGCCTACGTGGCTGAAGTTCAGGGAGTAAGGTGGAGAGTAGTGTGGGATGACGCTGTGAGTGGATGGAGGCACGTTTATCATGGAGGCCCCTGTGCCCCAGATTAAGGATGAGGCTTTATCTTTAAAAAGCCAGTGAAAGATTTTAGGGAGGGAGTTGATGAGGTGGTACAACTTCGAAGTTCCGGTATAATCCAGATTTTAAGTGTTGTCACTGCTGTCCTCATGTGTCTTCTGGCTCCTGGGAATATCCATGTTTACCTTGAGATTTCAGCTTAAGTGTTTCATTTGCATCTTTTTCCTTTCAGTTCCGTCTAGAGAAATTTTAAAACTGAACCTTACAACTTTTTTTTTAATCATTTTAATGTTTGTTGATTCCTCATAATTCAGTCATTAAATATTGTCGGGCATTTGCTTGGTGCTAGAATCTGGAGCTACAGACAAGAAAAAGGCATTTCCTTATCCTCGAGACGCTGCTGTTTTCCCAGGGGAATAGACATGTTAAACAGACATTTAAAATGCAGTATAGTAAATGCTTGGTAGAGAAAGGAGCTGGGCCAGAAAGTGGTCAGGAACAGGGAAAAAATGGCATTTGAGGAAGAGGAAAGGTGGAAAGGCAGAGATTTGCAAAAGGGCATGTTGCTGTCTGAACAATGAAGACGGTTTCCATGTGGTTATAGTTCTAGGTGAACAGGTGGAGTGAGATGAGTTGGAGGGATTGGTTAGGGCTTAAATGACGGGTCCTTCTGTGGTATGGTGAGGTTTAGGACTTCTGTAGGAAACAGGAGATAATAGAGGTCTTTTCACAAACGCTTGACCTTAAAAAAAAATTTATTCTGGTGATAGCATGAGGGATCCACCAGGATTAGGACAACCTGGGAGCCAGGATTCCATTTGGAGTGTTGCAATAGTCCAAGCCAGAGACGATAACAGGTCTAAAGTACGGTAGTGCAGCATATTGGAAAGTAGGGATGAACGTTGAGAAGTTCTAGAATCCAGGAGGCAGAAGGGGAGCCTGCCATGGAGACAAAAAGAAATGGTCAGAGAGGCAGAAGGAAAACCAAAGCCAAGTGCTCACAGAACCCAAAGGGGACGAAAGTGATGAGAGATTGGAAAGTAGTTCAAAAGAAAGGTTAGAAAGTTTTCAAGTAGCTTTAAAATGATCATGTAGTCTTGAAAATAGGCCTTTGGTGACTGATGTGAAGGCGATTTTCGTAGTGCAGCAAAGAAAAATCACCTTATTTTGAGCAGTACACACAACTATATTTTTTTAAGGGGTTGTTACAGTATTAACTAATACAAGACAGTGTTGCATATTCTAAAGTAGTTATAAAAATTAGATTTGATACTAGAATGGTTTTAATATGTTGCTTAAGGTTTATGCTATATAGTTTGGAGAATAGACTATTATTAATAGTTAACACCTGCTATGTGTCAGGGCCTGCCCTTAGATCTTTACATACACTGTCACAGTTAATCCTCAATTAAGTACTGTTACCCACAGTTCACATAAACAGTCTTGTTACATGCACTGCCGAACAAGTGCCCTATTTTTACTTTACTTTTTGTTGTCTTCCTTGACTTCACTCTGAAGCCTCTGGCACAGATACCTGTTGAATGCATGTAGTTGAGCACAGATGAAACGCCCATCTAGCGTGCACGGCTGCTCATGAAACATGGGTGACAAGCAGGTGAGTGACCACAGCCAGGCAGTGGCTGAGTGTGGTCTCTAGGAGATGTAAAAAGCACACTGAGTTGAAAAATTCCCGTGGCTGTGGTTGAGTCCTCATCCCCGGAAAGTGGAGAAAGGGTGGTGTGAAGCAGCCGCGTGCACTCGGAACAAGAGGTAGTTGAGTGATGATGTTAGTAATCAAGCAGTAATAGTGGGGAGCGAGAGGGTCTGCTGATATTTTGTTGCCCTGTGAGGGAAAATGTGAGAGTAGACCACTGGGCAAGCTTTGGAGGAAAGCTTTCTCATTTACGAGAAAGCTAGGTTTCAGTTAGGGCTAAGATGTGGAAAGAAAACTGGCAAAGTAAAAAGTACTGGGTAGTCTTGTTGCGTGTTCCGAGGGACAGTGGCCGAGCTTTGTGAAGGAAAGACGAGCGGGTAGCAGCTTCAGGGGCCGAGGAGATAACGATACCACCCAGGGCAGAGAAGTCAAGGCCCTTTTTTTGTGCTCAAAATCAACCTATACACACTTTACCTTGACCTTGAACACTCAGTTGCGTTGACCTATTTCCACATCTGCCTGTTTCTTCTCTCCCACAAGCTCGTGCAGTCAGGCTGTCAGTTCTACATTATTGTCTCTACATCTGACACGTAGAAAGCACCCCATACATGTTTATGGAATGAAAAATGTGGGAAACGATGGATGAAGGGATAGTTGTGTCTAAGAGGCAAGACAGACTACGATGCTTGGGAAATAGGCTGGAGGTAGATATGGGTAATCCAAAATAACTTAGTTGGAGAAGTTTCCAGAAACACTGTCCTAGGCCTGGATCCCAACCCTAAGGCTCAGTTTATAAGCCAAGGCCCTAATGTCTTGTCTGGTTCCAATGTCCCCTTTCCCCCATGGCTAGACCTCAAAAAGTGATATCCCACCGGAGTCCACAATTCTGACATCCACTAACATCAAGAAGCACAGATTGTGTGTG